ATCGTATGAAATTTGAAGATCATCGACCCAAAAGCTCTTGATTAATTATCTGTGATTTAGGCGGCTGTTGCATATTCCATAGATGCCTCTACATATGTAGCATTTCCGTCTGGTCAATTTTCGAGCACTCTTGGACTACCATGGCTTCACACGCCATCGCTCCATGTTTTGATTATTAATTCTAATCCTCTTTTTTATGGTGATCCTAATGATGTCATTTATCTCAACGATGAAAGGTGAGCGGTTGGAAACGGTAGTTTAAAAGTAGTTTAAAATACCTCCGTTGATGGGTAATTAGCTGAAATCAATATGTCAGCACTATAACTGCAAAGACGCCTTTGGGCACTTCAATTCTCGATGGTGACGATGTTGCTCTCTGTCGCTTTTTCGACAGTCAAGGTACTCTCCATTTTGACGCTGCACAAGAAGCCGGTATGGATCTTTATGATTAACCTTGGATGATGCATTCTGATGTTTTTTAGTAGACGGAAGTAGCGGATCTGTGCATCCACAGCCTAACATGCATCCTGCTGCTGGAGATTCTCCTTACGAAAGTTCTCCATTGCAAAGCTGTGACGGTTAGTTCCCGTTTTATGAATTTTCCGCCTTTTTAACATGTGAGTGTTTCTGGCTCGCTATAAGAACCTTTTGACTATATGAAAATTTTTCAGTACCGCAAAATGGTGCTGATCCTGAGCACTTTACTCCTCTGCCATCCGTTGCTCTCCCATCCTCAGCTGGTAAAAGTAAGTAGTTAACTTCTTTTTTGTCCAAGTCGCTGTTAAAGAATACAGAGCTTACAGCGTAGCTTCAGTCTATTTTTTCTTAGATTCGGCATTGCTTTAGTTTTAAGTCTTTAGGTTGCCTTCGAAGCAAACCGCCGCAGGTCTTCGTCGAACAGCCTCCACTTATCGGCAGGAGTGTACCTCCTCCTGCTCCTGGAGCTTCTCGTAATACGGTAGTACTTCAAGTCTTTTTTCTTATTGTCTTTACTTACTGCAATGATATTTTAATATTCCTT